ATCTCTGTGACCAGTGCCATGCTAAGTGCTAGCTAATGCCAGGAACAGTTCAACATAATCTGTTAGTTACCCGTTATGTTAGCGTGTGAGTGATTTATAATTTTTAAATCACATCGGCACTATTTCCGTCATATCGTAACAATGAAAGCTTTATATTAATAACAACGAACTTAGACCATATATATCTGTCACAAAGGGCAACAAAATAACTAGAATATCACAGATTTACACACATAACTAACCATAAAAAGATACATCTATACACGACAGTTTATAAAACCCGACATATGGACCGCCAGCTACTAAAGGTAGATCACCATACTAGAGATCATGGGGACTTACAGTGCCTTTGTTACCTGCATGGACCCTAGTTGGATTTACATCATACCCTCAGGTGTTGGCGATTTGTTAGCAAATTAACCATACATTAAAATGGCGAAAATTTTACGTTTAAAACTCTGGCAATGATAAACACATTGAATGTTGTGGTCCTACCCGTTATGTTAATATCAGACACAATCTCAGAAGTGCCCTGTCGATGCATTTTCCCTTGCTGCGATATTTGGACCCAACATCCCATACAGTTTAATTTAAAGGTCTATATTAGAGTACTTGACTGCCTCAGGAAAATATGAGACACTCTACTCGTCTGGTAGAAACATTATACAAATATTCGCAATGCTTTTAAATCGTTTTAAATTTCTCTATTTAATTTTCGGCCTTTTTGGAACGAGCATAATATATTTGAAAGTATTTTGTCTTCTTTTTTAACAAAAATATATATGCCAGCTAGATGTTTTAATCCATTTCACTGAGCCGATGATCCTGTCCTTTCATCTATATATACTAGTCACATAAAGAAACTGTGCATTGTCAAAATATTATCCCAGTTGATAAGTACGATAAAAATGTCAAAGGTACATATAAACTTTAATGGAGGGATCATGAGACCATAACAAGTCGGGAGAATTTCAATTGAAACGTCAATCACAATGACGTCACGAGTCCACAAGCTGGACAGGGGTCAAACGACCATGTACCAAGCTCAATAACGGGTATGTCCACCATCGGCATTGAGAACAGCAGTGCATCGACGACGCATAGAGCCTATTATACGTGCAAGGAAGGCTTTTGAGGTGTCACGCCAGATTCTCTCAAGTTCTGTTGCAAGGTCAAGGACGTTATCTAGCGGATGAAGAAGATAGCGTAGACGTCGATCCATCTCGTCCCATACATGCTCTATCGGGGAGAGATCCGGTGAATTTGCAGGCCAAGGCAGTAAGTCAACGTTGTGGTGTTGCAAGAAATCCATAGCAACCCTTGCCGTATGAGGGCGGGCATTGTCCTGTTGGAATGTTAACCCAGGGCCATGACGTTGCAGAAAAGGAATTGCCACAGGTCGAAGAATCTGATCCCTGTAGCCCACACCAGTTAAGTTGCCCTGAACAATCACCAAAGGAGTTCTTTGGCGTGCTGTTATTGCACCCCAAATCATCACGGAACCACCACCAAAGCGGTTCCTCTCCAAGACACAGGCCTATGTATAACGTTCTCCCACGCGTCTGTAGGCACGTTGACGTCCATCACTATGGGAAATGTTAAACCCGGACTCATCTGTAAAAACAACATTTCTCCACCAAAATAAGGGTCTGCGGACATGATTTCGGCACCACATTCGGCGAGCTTGTCTATGACGTTGTGTCAGGATAGGCCGTATGGCGGGACGTCGTGGTCTGATCCCGTGATGACGTAAACGTTGTCGAACTGTGTTGGGGTGGATACAGCGAAGTCCTGGGATGGTTCGGGCAGTCATCACTGCAGTCTGAAACCTGTGGCGAAGATGGGTCACCCTTATCCATCTGTCCTGTCTTGGCGTTGTTACACGTGGACGTCCAGAACGTGGCCGATCGATGACGTCATTTGTGTTCTGGTAGCGTCTCACCAGTGCAGAAATGGTGTTCCGGTGGCAGTGGAAATGTGCAGCCACTTGTCGTTGAGACATTCCCCCACGGTCCATCCCAATGGCCTCATAATGGTGTGCAGACGTGAGCCTTGGCATGCTATGCGTTTCAATAGCCGTTTAATTTTTTGAACGATCGCAAGGGCAGGGGTTGAGCTTTCCAAAGTGACAGTATTGTGTGGCATTCATTTGCTCTGTTTCTCTTTCCCGGAATGCACGTGCAACAACGTATTGCACGTCTCAAGGACGAACCCACTGACGCCACGGAACGTGGCACGTGCATGCATGTTGGATACATGTCACTAATCTCTGAGTTTAAATCCTTATGTGTCTACACAGGTTTGATAAATTTAGATTTAAAATTTTTGTATGCACAGTTTCTTTATGTGCCTAGTATAGATATCCGAATACAATGAATACATTTCTTGCGTGGTAATAATAATCTTTTGATGCAGTATGCTTGCTTATGTTTACGATAGATCAACGTCAATTAATGTGATGGACACAAATATGCCTTATTTCTGGTCCACGTCACCCTGAAGCTAAGCCATGGCCACCATCAAAGTTCTATCGCGAAATGTGAACACTAGCAAGTACTTTTTAAAAATCTACCTTCCTATATGCAGTTATCCCATCACCTCAAAAGTTTCAAATAGAAAAATGCTGGCCATTGTTAGACTGACTAACCACTGACCTGGTGAGGGTACTATTTCTGAGATATGAATGTACATTAGTCCATGATAGAATCTACGAATAACATAAAATGATAACAATGTAAGAGAGTTTAACTTCTGAATATTTTCGATGGAACTGAAGATATCGACATTAAAATCATGTGGAAAATATTGATCACTTCAAAATTATTATCAGTGTTCACACATACCTGGAAATAGTAGTGACAAAAGTCACTGGGATCCGTTGCTCATAACATCAGTCACTAGATCAAATCAATTTCTGGCACATTACAAACACATAAAACCCCGAGGCGACTAGTGGGATATGGTGGTCAGGCTCGCTGACGTGGTTGTCATCGTATCCCATTTACGTAGATCGATGCTCATGATGTTGATCACTGGATTGCCTGGTCCAGACACGATTATTTACAGACCGCTGCCATATAGCTGGAATATTGCTGAGTGCGGCGGTAAACAATAAACCAACCAACCAAACAAATAAAAATATTACTTTAGCCAAATGCTTTTTCACATATTACTTTGAACTCTCAAGTAGGTGTTACAATTAATCAGTTCAAACAGTTCACTCACTTATCGGCCTATCCTTGTGATCATGATATGAATAGTTACATTGACAAAGCAAACCCCCAAATCTGAAAAATGTCAGCGAGACGAAATAGTCAAAAGAGACGGATGATGTTCCAGATGACTAACTGAAGCCAGACACAATATATCAATTTTCATTGTTCCATTTGGATCCGACCCTTTACTATTAACATGGAGTGATATAGCAGCGGTTCTAAAAGCGTTGGAATAATGGAAATGTTTGATTGCAGCCACTTACTGTAACTGCTTTAACGTGAGCTCTTAATGAGCGGATAAAACGGATCAGGAAAAAACTATATCTCTGATGAATATCGATTTCATCTTAGGTAACATAACATCAGATCAAAACATTTCCAATAGAATAAAGTGATGCAAATGTCAGGGTCTGTTAAAGTCATGCAAAAACCAAGACAGCTGGAACGACACAAAACGGGAATTGACAAGTTTGTGCGAAACATGTATCCATACTTGCTAGATACCGTCATATTGACTCTTACATCAGAAACGGCCCTGAGAACAGACAGCCTGGGTTTCTTCCATCCATTTAAGGTCGTTCGTTGTACTGACAGTTCACTAATGAGTTGTCTTGTAACGTGCTTATCTGAGATAAACCTCGCAGGTTCCCCATTTACATAAACAGCGTGATTAATTTATCTGCTTACTTAAACAACATACATTAGCAACTGACATGTTTTCGCATGTCTAAAGATCAACAATTAGATACTGCTTAATGGCGTGTTGTGTGCGATTTTTGCATTTTTTGAATCCGATAATCAATTTGCTCAAATGTGTAATTAGGTTTTATATTTACTGGAGAAGGATTCGTTACGACTTAAATCGTGGTATCCAAATAGATGTTGCTTTACAAATAAGCACAGTACGTGTAATTAAGGTTTAAACCTTCGGTCCGTCCATGTCAGAACTTTAGCTGAGATTCACGGACAGCAGAGATAGAAAATATGAATGCTTTATACTCGTAAGATGAGACCGACACAGGGTTTCAAATATCCTTCGGTATTAGTTAGGGGAAAGGTCGAGCAATATTCGTCTAAATGCGGTTTTTAACAGATTGTGTGGCATCTGGGCACGTTGTAGACCTGCCATCGAGGGTTCCAATCCCGAGGATGTTCCAATCCCTTAGTTTGTGAACACCAAATATACTCTATTGCGGGTTTCACCTAAAAGGTAAATATCTGAGATTAACTTTACTTAACTGACATAAGTGTGACAAAACTGTTGAAATCGACGTAAAACCTAACCCACTGACTCGAATAGAATGAGTGAGTTTAGTTTTACGCAGCTTTAAGCAATATTCCAGCAATATCACGGCGGGGGACACCAGATTTGGTTTCACTCATTGTACCCACGTGGGGAATCGAACTCGGGTCTCCGGCGTGACAAGCGAACGCTTTAGACTCTAGGCTGCTTTAGACGATAGGCTACCCCATCGATCCCACTCGAATAGAAATGGGCTTGATAAATTTATTTCTTGAAGAATATTGTCCTCGTTTATTCATTTTATACATACATGTGTGCTTGCTGAGAACGCGAACGGGTATGAAAGTGAAACGGCATACATATACCCTGGCATATTTTAAATTATACACCGCTTTTAGGGTAAGAAAGTTACTTATCATTCCGCGTATCAAATGCTTTAAACGTGTAGATATGTGAACCCAACGTGGTAAAGCATTACCCTGAAATAAGAAGAAAACAAAAACGAATAAAATTGCGACAAACAGCTAGATAAGAGGACGTACCTGCATTGGATGCACCATCGACGTTGGTGACGATGTCGAGAACAAAGACGTAGGTGGCGATCCAAACGGCCCCTTTAATTGGATATCTGGTCATGATCTTACTCTTGAAATTTCATATGCAGCTTGTAATGTTTTAGAGTATCTTCTGTTTGCCTCAGTTTCACTTAAGTCTCATATAGAATGTTTCACAGTAGGTAGAAGCAAAACGGGTTCTTTGTGGTGTCTTCTTTTGCTGCTTTAAATCTGAGGACAACGATGAAAACGACAAAAATATATTCAATCTCTTTTCTTTTCCGATGGTGGCCCGAATGCCCTCAATGTGCAGAATTACAACGAGTTAGTTTCAGGTAATTATATTATCCTTTACCTCATATGCAATTACCTATTACAGAAATACTTGATGTCGCATGTTTGTCCCATTTTTATTTTTATTGACTATTTCAAAAGAAATCCTCGGATTGGCGTTCTGTTTCGTCAAGCATAAAAATATAATGTGAAATAACATTAGTATTCTTTTTCATACTACTCACCCGTTTTCTTCTGCTGACAACCGAAACACCCGTTCATTTGTCGTCTGCTTCCATCAAATGTCGTCTGGTCAATCTCAGCTCCTGCTTCGGTCGTGCTGTGAACGTGTTAGAAATACCTTCACGATGTTTCTTAGTTAGTTTTCATATTCTCCGGATGTACACCACTGGTTGGTATCTGTATATTTCGCTTTGTATCCTTCGGCCCATGCAGCCAGGACTTATCGTAACCATGGCATTCTATACGTACTGGTACCACAAAGACTCCTCCGTATCTTCAGTTGATTACTATGTCTCTTTGAAGTGTATAGAAATGGTTGTTCTCCGCTGCGGTCATTGGATGATGGCGGGCTGTTTTCGAAGACAGTTCTGTTTGACGAATGTCGTATGACACAGAAAAGATAATAAGATAATCCCTTATTTTATTGTACGTTTAGCTCTGCTGTTGCTGTATCATTCCATTGGCTGTTAACACTGTCAAAACAAACAGGGCAAAATACAGATCTATCTACCTATTGTCACACATTTCTTGCCATGCATATTCCTTTAAACTCCATGCACTCGTGATCAGTTACCATGTCACCACTGCACGGTGTCACAGATCGCCTGCTTGAAATGTCGTCTGCTGCACTGTGTCGTCTGCCTCTGAACAGAGACGTTGATGGACTGATCAATCACACTCTCGTGTCTCGAACATTCATCGACGGAAAATCAATAGTGATAGCAACAACCATCATTCATATTTGTGTTTCATATGTAACGAAGGCTCGGATATTGGAGATTCGCGGGGCATGGATTTAAATGCCACGCTGCGCGTGTATACAGACATGTTGTTTAATCAGCGTTTTTTATATGGAACCGTCAAAGTGAAATAGGGGCGCGGTACGAATCATTACATAAGTTTATGAGCGCGGGAATAATGTGTTATGCTACCGTCAATCAATATTCTGCCCCGGTTTCCTTCGCTGATGTTTTTTTAAACTGGTGATTTCAATCATTTGAAAACATTTTGAGAACTGATCGTTCTTTTTCTCACATTAACTAACCGCATCCGTGGTGTAGTAGTTACAGCGTCCGCCCGGAGAGCGGAAGGTCGCGGGTTCGATGCCCGGATGCGTCATATAAAAAATATTGTACTTGCTGGTCCCTGCCTGGCGCTTGGCATTAATGGGTAAAACGAGGACTGGTCGGCTAGGAGTCAGTATAATGTGTCTGAGTGGGGTATTCATGCTTACCTGCGGCATGGTACCTCAGTGAGCTAGCACTATTAAACCAGTTTAAATCTGGACTAGTACAAGCAGCTACACATACACACGCATGTACGTCGTCATATGAGTGAAATATTCTCAATTACGACGTTAAACCCCATTTCACCTCACCTTAACTAATTTACGTACCATTAGTAACAACGTTTTGCAGTCATCTGCAAATTAATCATTTTCTATACGACGTTTGTCTGAAATTTTAATGATTTCGCAACAACCGGGTGTCATAGCTGATTTTCAGTGGTCCATTCTTGCAATTTTTCATCACAGGTATATGTCACATGAAATGGAATTTGTTTTAGAGGATAGTAACACCTGGGTATTCTTTTGCCCTGACGTTGAATATTCAGAGCAATAATGTGCATTTTGCGTGCTATTTTAAAAATCGCGATGTACTTCGTGAAAATTGTTATCATTCTCCCGAAAAAACTAGCCGTAAGTCAATGTAGACAGCTGCGTGCCGCATTATTAGTCTCATGCCAGGATCTGCTGATGTTGGGATCGGTTATGGGGTGGATTGTCAATAATTCATTGTTTAGTGAAGTGAAGTTGTATTTTTTATGAGAGTATGCTGTTAAACTGTATACAGGGTACGAATAAAATCGTTCGGATCCCAAGCGATCGTAAAAGCACGCAAGAAAATCACGCAAGTCTTGGCATAGGGTAGATTGGGGCAACACAGGACAATATTGTAGGAACGATTGGATGCATCCGACAGACCATTGTCAAACTAGTTCCGGTTCAAATGTTTTCAAAAGATCCCCAAACCAAAGTGTTTATATATATGCACGGATAGGCCTTAAATTTGTAACATGCCATTTACGGTATCAGTGTCTCAGAAATATTAGCATTAGAATCTTCTTGTTACCTTGTTGTGGACTTACGGTCTAACCTAACCAGTTTTATATGGTCTACCTTCCGAGTCTAATGTCCCGTTGCCAAATCGATGTGACTAACTGCTCAATGCAATTTGCGAAGAATTAGATAAATTGAAAAGTATTGAAAAATAATGTTTCTTTCAAAAACATTTATCCAGACACATACCGTTGATTAAACCTTTTGAAACGAACTTCTTACCGTGAGATGTTTTCTTAAAAGGAATAAAAACGCTCAAGATTATGGCGCAGATGTTCCATCCATTTTTGGTCCTTAACATGATTGATAAAAATTATTACTTATTGCAAATATTATTCGATCTCGAACAATGCTAGAATTATTCAAATTCAGAGTGACAAAGACCCAGAGGCAACATATCATCAAAGCTTCATACACTGTTAACACACGCGCTCATGAACAGCTGTCAACTTTCAGATTCAGGACCCGTGAAGGTCAGGGTTAGAATTGATCTTCAGTAACCCACGCTTGTCGTAAGAGGCGACTAACGGGACCGGGTGGTCAGGCTCGCTGAAATGGTTGACACATGTCATCGTATCCCAATTGCGTAGATCGATACTCATGATGTTGATCACTGGATTGTCTGGTCCAGACTCAAGTATTTACAGACCGCTGCCATATGGCTGTAATATTGCTGAGTGTGGCGTAAAACTAAACTCACTCAAATTCAGATTGACGAAAACACTCTCCACACGACTATGTGTGAATAGGCATGAGTAGAAACTTTCCTTCTATGTCCTGCTCCAGCCCACATTGTCAAGATTTAAAAATATTATTGATTCAATCGAACATTCTCTTTGAACGGAAGTTTTGTTTCACTATTAACACACAGCAAACAAGCTTTCAAAGGCTTTTATGGTTGACACATTTTGGATATTACTAAGTATTCTATGGTGCAATTGTCTCGTGACGGGTAACACCAATGGCGCAGGATACGCTCAACTTTATGCTTACATCCGATGTCAACATGCGAACTGATTCATAAACTCATCCTTTTAATACCAGGACTCATCAATCAGATTGCGCTTTTATATGATATATTTTTTTGTTTAATAATTGAGCTTTAAGGATATATCTGAAAGGCTTATACATTGACTTATCTGTCACCATGGATATTCGTCGAGAGGTTATCTAGTATTCTATGACACCGATATTTCATTTTATTTTTTAAAAACATCTGTAATGCCAAAAGACACAATGCTTTACGTGTTTACTCGTTCTTGCAGTAAACATGTTTACGCCAGTACCTTGGGTATTGTGAGTGCAGGGTACACGTCTTGTTAATATCCGTTATTATCCCTTAGATACAAAGTACAGGATGTGAGACAGAAATCAATAGATCCAGTGTTTTGCTGCTTCCAATAGATACAATGTATTTATGTTTCATTGCCACGGTGTACATGAGGGTAACTACGTTGTTTGTGGATACCGGCGGGTAAATATCTGTATCCACCCTTAATTGCTGTAGAAGAGCAATAATGCATGTGCAATTGATCCAACCAACAATGCTGTCTACAGGCATTGGTTGTACTGAATGTAAGCCAGATGCATATGGTGTGTTGAAAAGATGATCGGCTGTAACAGTTGGAAGGGGCTATTTCTTGTTATTTGTTCTTGTGCCTTATGACCAAGATGTACAAGCAGAAATGTGTATCATTATGAACGTAAGGTCACTAAGCGTGAATTCGAAGTAAAGTGAAGCACAACAATCATGTTTAGCGAGTCACGTAATCACCATAGCGATTGCACGTGCATTTGCTACAGGAAAATATATCAAAATTGCCAGTTTAACGGAAACCCGAGTACAGGCCGCGGTAATCCGGTCCTCGTTAATCCGAATCCACCGACTTCCGAACGCTACTCACCGGGCACCAAATCATCTCCCTATATATTGTATATAATTGACACCTCGTTAGTCCGATGATTCAGTTTCCGCCTCCGAACGCTGGTCAGTCGGAACGGATTGGGACTAATTAAGTTGTAAACAGCTGCGTTAATCCGAACGATTGACGTTGACCGCGCTGCTGACTGGTCCACCCAAAGTGACACGTTGTTTGTTTAGCGAATTAGCGACTTAGCGACTCATCCCTTTGATCCCTTTATCATAAGTGATAGGGAAATTTCGACGACCACGCTGAAATATATGCTTGGTACCGTTTCAACACGAATTAAAATTATAAACTATTTTTCGCAATGTTATTGAAAACAACGATTCTCGGACACATGCTTCGGCAGCGGGTCCACAATAACATTGTCAAAGAGCAAAGTGACGATGTAAATTGAATAAACTAATGAATAAAATCCATAATTTACGTATAGGTAGCGATTTCTTGCTTAATATGTTCAAAATAGCGTTATTTTACCCAAAACTTTCGTCTAAATCTAAAAGTTTTCGTTTACGAGGACGGTATCCATTGCCGCAATATGATTGGCTGCCTTAGGTCACGTGTCTGATTTTGACCAATCACGACCCTTATAGCAGACTGTAGAGAAAAAGCGTCATTAGAAACCAATTTTTATCCAATAAAATCGCTTCTTACAACTGTGAAAATACTCTCGGCAAAGGTTCAGTGATGTTGTTGATGTTCAGAGCTTTCGAACGATGCCCGACATCAAACGATTCGCCTCCCATGTTATTCATACGAAGCTTCGAAAACGGAGGTATTTTCCGTTGTTATGTCATGTTACCGAGCGGAAAGCCACAGATATCGGGAAATAGGCGACCATACATATTATTTAAGAAATCTTTTTATAATAATTTTCTGATGACGTAAAAATGAAAATATAAAAGAAAAAGGCACGGGCATGTTATGACATGTCATAAATGGAAAAAAATCGCCATAGTTTTTGAATAACATTATAAAAATAAACTTCATATTTATCAACAGTAGGATTAGAAAATTTAAATGGTGTATGGGATGTAGTAGCAATAACGTTATACAAGCTTATAATTTCCTTCATAAACATAGGCTTCATCTATGACCTCAGAGTCTCGATAGTAAGGAAAGATATCAAGGGGAAGTAACTCGGTGCATATACTGTGGTTTCAGCAGTACGAACGTTTCACTATCCGAACGGTCTTTTTAAAAAACCAAAGTGTTCGTATTAACGAGGTCTGACTGCAACTCACACATCTACAACGTCGGCGTGCCATGGGCAGTCCATTCAGCAGCTGAACGAGCCCTGGGTTGTATCGTCAAACAATACACAACCTGAGAATCCGTAAACAACAGACGGACACTGTTGCAGATTGCCCATTGCCTAGGGTGCCACATGTAACGTCACAAGATGACGTACAAATCAGCATATGTCATCTCTGAAACAGGTTAGCAACTCCAACCCCCACAAACAGACAGTTGTGAGGTAGAGATTCCGGACAGTCCAGCAGGAATCGATTCCTCACCACAGGTATCCTAGCTGGACGACCTTACACTACCTTACACCCTTAGATCGTCCTCAATAATATGAGTCGAGTCCGCAGACATGCCAGATTCAACCAGAGGCAGTGCAACAAGATTGTCTTCTGTGGCAATCACACGTCTCTTAGCGCTTTGCCGAAGGTAGGGTGCGGGTGTGGCGCAGGAGACTCTGGGCATCAGGAACCTCAAGAACTGGACAAAGAAGCAATAGAGGAAGAGCCTCAGGATCCAGAGGAGGAGACAGAGTCTACTGCAGAGGAGGAGACATGCACAGAGATGGTGTCTACTGCAGTACCATCACAGGATGCTAATGGTTTGGAGGAGCAGTCTGAAGAGGAAGAGACAGTCCCGAAAACATTTGATGTGTCCCCTGGAATCCATCACCGGAACCTGATTGAATAGATGAAGGGGTACCTTCTGCATTGGTATCAACACCGAAACGAACACGACGATCACTGCCACAAGTACCAGTTCCGGCTTTGAGGAGATCGACACGGCAAAGAAGAGCACCTCAGCGCTGTGGTGACATTTTGATGTCGATGTCCGCATCTCATACAGCCGGGATGGAGGTGAGGTGAGGTGAAATTTGGTTTAATGTCGTGCTTGAGAATATTTCGCTCATATGACGACGTGCATGCGTGTGTATGTGTATGTGCGGCTGCTTGTACTAGCCCAGACTTAAGCTGGTTTTATAGTGCTAGCCCAAAAGAGATACCACGCCGCAGTGAAGCATGAATACCCCACTCAGACACATTATACTGACTCCGAGCCGACCAGTCCTTGATGTACCCATTAATGCCGAGCGCCAGGCAGGGACCAACAAGTACCATATTTTAACGTCTTTTGGTATGACGCGGTCGGGGATCGAACCCGCGACCTTCCGCTCTCCGGGCGGGCACTCTAACCACTACACCACGGAGGCCGTCGCCGGGATGGAGAGAGCCGAGTATCCGAGATCACTGCATGATGACGGTGCTTTCGACGGGATGCCAACTCACATCTCTGGAGCCATCATGGACCTGGTGCTCGGCAAGCCCAAATGATGAGGACATCATTCCCCTGGGGAGGGAAGTGTGTGACAGGGACACACTTTGTATGTCTGTATATTATAATTAATTCGCACTAATTAGCTCTTTAGTATTGTAAATAGTAATAAATTCTCTATCAGCATGCAAGACTCGCTGAAACATGCAATGTGAATACATATTTTAGCTTATTACAGTGGCTGAAATTAAATAGTTAATAATTCATATATTTTAAACAAATTTCTTGATCTCAGCTCATAGAGAGTGAGTGAGTGAGTGAGTGAGTGAGTGAGTGAGTGAGTTTAGGTTTACGCCGCACTCAGCAATATTCCAGCTATATGGCGGCGGTCTGTAAATAATTGATTCTGGACCAGACAACCCAGTGATCAACAGCATGAGCATCGATCTGCGCAACTGGGAACCGATGACATGTGTCAACCAGGTCAGCGAGCCTGACCACCCGATCCCGTTAGTCGCCTCTCACAAGCATAGTCTCCTTTTGTGGCAAGCATGGGTTGCTGAAGACCTATTCTACTCCGGATCTCCACGGGTGATGACTGCAGTATGCAAAAGAAAGACATAAATGTACATTACCTCCTACCTCCATTACATTAAAGAGTTCTCTATAATACTCCTGCTATATTGCGTACATTAAAGACATATATAGTGCCAGGTTGCACCTCTGAAATCTTAAAATTCGCATTCTAATTGGCATTTATAGCAAGTGGTACACAATTATTATCCCCCGCCAAGAAGTGGGAGGGGGATATAGGTTTGAACTCCATCCATCCATCCTTCCGATATGATGAGGACAGATTTTCTCAGAAACCGTAATAGATAGGGAATACAAATTGGGTACGTGTTTTCAGGACAGGAATGCCTTGATGGAGTTCTAAAACGGAAACCGTCTTACACTTTATTACAGAGTTATGGCCCTTGTCATGCGTTTCTTGACTTTGCGTACGTTATTCCCAATGGAGACAGATTTCATCAACAACCGTTATATATAGGGAAACCAAATGTGGTATGTGTTTTCAGGACATGAATTTCGTGGTATAGTAATTAATGCCAGTCATAAAACATAATCAAATCATGCTGAGTGCTGTGTTAAATATCCAGCCCCAAACAAGACACACATGATGTTGTGAGCAATTCTATCATAATGGCTGATTAACATAATAGACAACAGCAATGGCAATATTTATAATTTTCATCTTCATTTCTAGAGTGTCTCAGCACCACGTGCATCTGAAGATGGACGACATTCATGTGGATGTTGCAATTATTGGCGTTGGTATCAGTGGTGAGGACAACTTCACGTCCTAGAGTTCAAACTCTCTCCCATAACAATATTCTAAATGAAGTGATTAGTGTCCCCACTGATACAACATGGTATCCAACTGCCAACGATATGGATGGCTATTTATGCTGGTTGTTCTCTCTATCTGTTATTTACAGGACCACAGCAGGAATTTAATTCTTTAGTGTAAAACAATATTCATTGTTTGGAAATATGTACATTAAGGATGAATGTATTAACTTTGTGACATGTGTTGAAATTGCATACAGGGGTATCTGAAGCGGCAGAGGCAGTTTACAATATTTATACTCTATGTTCACGACAGTTACACAAACAGCTTATACATGTTGAAGTCATGTTGTTTGCATGAGTCCATGGCATTTACTCACACATATTACCATGGACCCTTTCAACATGATCATTGATGATTTCACCTTGGGGTTGTAACAGAATCATGTTGGGCAGCACCTGCTGATAACACGATTCCTCTTGAACTGTTTGAGAGGTATTCTAGAAGTTGTAAGCAGTAGGAATGACAAGTGTTTATGGATGATCAACTTCTTTATTGTACAATTGCGACGTTTCGGTATAGATGCTTATACCGTTTTCAAGCATGATTCCTCTTGTCTCAAACTCTGGTAAACTTGATATCATATGCTTGCTGGTCCCTATTTATCCAAGTTAAGACAGTTTTACTGGATAATGGAACTATGATTATCTTTCTGTGAGGACTAAGTGCTGCTTGTTTACTCAAGAAGAGTGGACTGAGTGTTGCTGTCCTCGAAGCCCAGGATCGTGTCGGAGGACGGACCTACACAGTCAGGGTACAAACATTTGCCAAACTTAGTCTTGTCTCATTAGCTCCCTGTCAAAGACATTGTTAGCTTATGTAATTGTCTTCATCCTTCCATGCATCCTTCGACCCGTGAAGATCCGGGGTAGAATAGGTCTTCAGCAACCCATGCCTGCCACAAAAGGCGACTATGCTTGTCGTAAGAGGCGACTTACGGGATCGGGTGGTCAGGCTCGCTGACTTGGTTGACACATGTCATCGGTTCCCAATTGCGCAGATCGATGCTCATGGTCTTGATCACTGGATTGTCTGGTCAAGACTCGATTATTTACAGACCGCCGCCATATAGGTGGAATATTGCTGAGTGCGGCGTAAAACTAAACTCACTCACTCTATGCATCCTTCAGTTCTGAACTGAACCCCAAGGTATACAACGCACCAAAATCATTTGCACTAAACATGCTAACAAAAGAACAGGTCAATTGAGCTTTTGTTGTAGTTCTTTATAAAGTTGAGTGCTGTTATAATTTTGCCACCTTACCGACATTATGAGGTTTATGAAGCTAAATCTTTGCATTGATCATCTATGATGTCTGTAAAATGTGCTCACAGATTTGCAATCTGATCTTGGTCATGTTTTTTACAGGTAACCTCATTGACTATTTCAAACATATACCATTGTAAAAATTGTCCACAGTAATTATGAAGTATGCCAGATACCACATACCATACTGGTAATGTATTGTGATATTCGGCACAACCTATGGACTTCCCGTAGCCTTGTGGCTGCGAATAATGCCAATGTAGTGATAATGAACCTGCAATTATGTCCTGTTTTGTAGGTATTTATGCCTGTGTGAATATGTACTGCATTGAGTGAATGAGTGAGTTTAGTTTTGCGACTCTCTTAGCAATATTCCAGCAATATCAAGGCGGGGACACCAGAAATCGGCTTCACACATTGTACCCATATGGGGAATCGAACATTATACCATGTGGGGAATCGAACCCGAGTCTTCTGCGAACGCTTTAACCACTAGGCTACCCCGCGGCCCCATGTAATGTATTAAACAAGCTATTAGGATATATCATATGTTACGCGTAATATTCTGATGTAACAGTCCAGAAAAAGGTAATGGTGAGCTACAGAATGTCTTTTCCTGATCACCTTGTCTGTGATGTAATACATCATTGACTGACAATTAGTGCTGGTATTGGCATACAACCTGCGATACGATACATCACAATGCTAAAATTTTAGTCACGACGATGAATTGCCAAAGTATTGTGCACTGATGCTGCGATACGATACGAATCCCGATATAAGGGTGGCGATACGATGCGTATCACCATACTAAAATCTTTAATTCTAACGCCAAATATAAAACACCTTAAGATCAAAACAAAAACATTTTAAAGTATTTCGTCAAATTCCGCCAGAGTTAATAACATGCGAGTGCTATGTCTGACACAGTAATTGACGCATGAATTTCAGAGAAAACGTGTACTTATGAAGTGAAAATAAGTGAGCATATATTTTAATCATCAAACAAAAGTAAGTCTTTTTTTCTTGACAGATATCGCGATTCGGCAATATTCAAAGTTAACCATAGATGTATCGTGGCCCCCTTGAAGTATCGTATCGGGATATACGACAATGTAAATCTTTGTATCGATTCACTGTATCGGCGGCCCATGGATCGATGCATCGATGCGTATCGATGAATCGTCACACCACTACTGACAATGGAAAGGGATATGTCAGTTTCACTTGGCCAGTTGACTGACAGCAATATCTTCCAGCCTTTGTTCAAATAACTAAAACCCCTGATTACTATAATGAGTTGAACCGTGCAGGAGACCGGACATTTATTACAAGGTTGGTGGACCGGTGGATAAAGTGGAAGTGATGAAAAAGTAACACTTCTACATCCTGACATATATCTTGTTCATCATTACCTCTAGAGCATACCAAAACAACAATAAGGTCGTTAATGTATGGTCTACCTGAATGTTGCTATGTTTTATCAACCAAATGTTTTACTGACTGTTGTAATTTTAAAAGCCCTGGCGTTGATTTTACTGACATTGCCGAAAAAAGATGGGTTCGTATCAGCCGTATGGAATATTGCCTGTGTGCCAATTACTGACTTTTTATTACAGGTGAAATTCATGGTGAAGTTTTTATCAGGAACATATTTTGCATCTGTGATAAATGCTTTGTAAAAACTTTCTGTTTTATTGTAGGATCCAACGCATGGCTGGGTAGATGTTGGCGGCGCCTACATTGGACCCACCCAGAACAGAGTGTACAGGCTCATCAAGGAACTTGGACTAGAAGTCTACATTCACTAATATTCCAGTGACACTTCTTAAATCCTTTATGGCTGCGGTCAGTAGCCTAATCTCCATAACAATGAGTGGACAAATGAGTGAGTGAGTGAGTATTACTTTCACGCTAATCTAGTGCACTCAGCAATATTCCAGCTATATGCCGCTGTTACTGGTCATTGGCTCCCTCCCTCTGCAAGCAGTTTGCGGTCTGCTGTTTATTTTGTTGACAGTTACATAGACATATTCTTTAATACAAATGCATAAAATCGGTGATTTACAATGTGATTAGGTTGTCTGACAAAACATCCACTTGCAAAGGTTGGGATCGATTGGGTCATTGGATGAAGAGATATTTACAAAAAACCGGGTCCACATGCATTTCATGCCAAACTATAGCACAAGATTAAGGTCTCAGTCTGCCCTCCACCCACTGTAACCTCAGTGTCAAAAGGGTGTCTCTCATCACTGATGGAGCACAGGTAGAATGTTAATTTCAGTCTCAACTCCACCCACAGTCACCTGAATGTAGACAGGTTGTCTCTCATCAGTGATGGATCACAGGTACAGTACGTGTTCGTCTTAGTCTGACTGACCCCACAGTGACCTCAATGTCAACCTGATGTAGTACAGGTGGAGGCTTAGCCTCGATCTAGTCCTTCCACCCACAGTGATCTCTCATCACTGATGGAGCACAGGTAGAATGTTAATTTCAGTCTGCACCCACAGTGACCTCGGTATCAACCTGATGTAGCACAGGTGAAATGTTAGTCTCAGTCTGCCCTCCACCACAGTGACCTCAATGTCAACAGGGTGTCTCTCATAACCGATGAATCACAGGTGGAGTGCTAGTCTCAGTGGGAACTCCACCCTCGTGGACCTCAATGTCGACAGGTTGTCTCTCATCAATGATAGATCACAGGTAGAGAGTTTGTCTTTGTCTACCCTCCACCTGCAGGGACATCAACGTCCACACAATGTAGGACAGGTTAACTGTTAGTCAAACTCTACCATCACCCACAGTGACCACAATGTCAACAAGATTGTTTATTTCTTTTACCAGGAGAAAAAGATTGTTGGTGGAACCCAGCAGTTGTCTGAGGGGATGAGTGACCAGCTCGGTGCTGATGTTGATCTCAGCTCCCCAGTCACCAGCGTCACACAGGATGATGCAGGAGCAGTTGTCCACACCGTGGATTGGAAAGTCGTCAAGGTCAGTGATTCACACTTGACACACTTGTGATACCTTTCTGCATCATGTTCCCTGGATCAATGATTCAAGACGTGTAAAGCTCTACAGACCTCACTATATTGGTATAGAATGCCACGAAAACACACACATAAACTGCTTGACAAATGTTAATGAACATAAAATCTCCAAACGACCTAAAATGGACAGAAAATGTCACTGTGGCTGCACATTTCTAAAAGTGATACAAAACATATCAAATTTGAATAATTATAAAATACTATGCTGGTTCAGGTGACTTAATAAGGATATTCTCTGCACCTTAGAGTACATATTTGATCAGCGCCATTCCACTCCCACTGCTATCCAGGGTGTCTTTCTCCCCTCCGCTTCCCGGCCTCAAGGCCCAGTTGATACAGCGAGTCTCTCATGGGCTCCATCATCAAGACAAACATGTTCTACAGCACCCCGTTCTGGAGAGAGCTAGGTGAGCACTTGACACAATACATAGAACTGAGAAGGTTGTAAGCTGGTCTGGTGTTTCTTGATGACTTAACTGGTCTAAGTAGCACAGCTGAGTTTCTACAGATCTAAGTAGCACAGCTGAGATTCTACAGATCTAACTGACACAGGTGTATTTCATCACCAGTGATATATAATGTTACAGATCTAGGTGGTACAACATTTTTTCATCACTAGTGATGTATGATGTTACAGATTCTTAAGTGGCACAGCAGTGTTTCATCACTAGTGATGTATGATGTTACAGATCTAAGTGGCACAGCAGTGTTTCATCACTAGTGATGTATGATGTTACAGATCTAAGTGGCACAACAGTGTTTCATCACTAGTGATGTATGATGTTACAGATCTAAGTGGCACAACAGTGTTTCATCACTAGTGATGTATAATGTTACAGATCTAAGTGACAGGAGTCTTTCATCGCTAGTGATGTATGATGTTACAGATCTAAGTGGCACAGCAGTGTTTCATCACTAGTGATGTATGATGTTACAGATCTAAGTGGCACAGCAGTGTTTCATCACTAGTGATGTATAATGTTACAGATCTAAGTGGCACAACAGTGTTTCATCACTAGTGATGTATAATGTTACAGATCTAAGTGGCACAACAGTGTTTCATCACTAGTGATGTATAATGTTACAGATCTAAGTGGCACAACAGTGTTTCATCACTAGTGATTTATAATGTTACAGATCTAAGTGGCACAACAGTGTTTCATCACTAGTGATGTATAATGTTGCAGATCTAAGTGGCACAACAGTGTTTCATCACTAGTGATGTATGATGTTACAGATCTAAGTGGCACAGCAGTGTTTCATCACTAGTGATGTATAATGTTACAGATCTAAGTGGCACAACAGTGTTTCATCACTAGTGATGTATAATGTTACAGATCTAAGTGGCACAACAGTGTTTCATCACTAGTGATGTATAATGTTACAGATCTAAGTGGCACAACAGTGTTTCATCACTAGTGATGTATGATGTTACAGTGATCTAATGTTGGATCTAACAGCAGTGTTTCATCACTAGTGATGTATAATGTTACAGATCTAAGTGGCACAGCAGTGTTTCATCACTAGTGATGTATAATGTTACAGATCTAAGTGGCACAACAGTGTTTCATCACTAGTGATGTATAATGTTACAGATCTAAGTGGCACAGCAGTGTTTCATCACTAGTGATGTATAATGTTGCAGATCTAAGTGGCACAACAGTGTTTCATCACTAGTGATGTATAATGTTACAGATCTAAGTGGCACAACAGTGTTTCATCACTAGTGATGTATAATGTTGCAGATCTAAGTGGCACAACAGTGTTTCATCACTAGTGATGTATGATGTTACAGATCTAAGTGGCACAGCAGTGTTTCATCACTAGTGATGTATGATGTTACAGATCTAAGTGGCACAGCAGTGTTTCATCACTAGTGATGTATAATGTTGCAGATCTAAGTGGCACAACAGTGTTTCATCACTAGTGATGTATAATGTTACAGATCTAAGTGGCACAACAGTGTTTCATCACTAGTGATTTATAATGTTACAGATCTAAGTGGCACAACAGTGTTTCATCACTAGTGATTTATAATGTTGCAGATCTAAGTGGCACAACAGTGTTTCATCACTAGTGATTTATAATGTTGCAGATCTAAGTGGCACAACAGTGTTTCATCACTAGTGATGTATAATGTTGCAGATCTAAGTGGCACAACAGTGTTTCATCACTAGTGATGTATAATGTTACAGATCTAAGTGGCACAACAGTGTTTCATCACTAGTGATGTATAATGTTACAGATCTAAGTGGCACAGCAGTGTTTCATCACTAGTGATTTATAATGTTACAGATCTAAGTGGCACAGCAGTGTTTCATCACTAGTGATGTATAATGTTGCAGATCTAAGTGGCACAACAGTGTTTCATCACTAGTGATGTATAATGTTACAGATCTAAGTGGCACAACAGTGTTTCATCACTAGTGATTTATAATGTTACAGATCTAAGTGGCACAGCAGTGTTTCATCACTAGTGATGTATAATGTTGCAGATCTAAGTGGCACAACAGTGTTTCATCACTAGTGATGTATAATGTTACAGATCTAAGTGGCACAGCAGTGTTTCATCACTAGTGATGTATAATGTTACAGATCTAAGTGGCACAGCAGTGTTTCATCACTAGTGATGTATAATGTTACAGATCTAAGTGGCACAACATGTGTTTCATCACTAGTGATGTATAATGTTACAGATCTAAGTGGCACAACAGTGTTTCATCACTAGTGATGTATAATGTTGCAGATCTAAGTGGCACAACAACAGTGTTTCATCACTAGTGATGTATAATGTTACAGATCTAAGTGGCACAACAGTGTTTCATCACTAGTGATTTATAATGTTGCAGATCTAAGTGGCACAACAGTGTTTCATCACTAGTGATGTATAATGTTGCAGATCTAAGTGGCACAACAGTGTTTCATCACTAGTGATGTATAATGTTGCAGATCTAAGTGGCACAACAGTGTTTCATCACTAGTGATGTATAATGTTGCAGATCTAAGTGGCACAACAGTGTTTCATCACTAGTGATGTATAATGTTACAGATCTAAGTGGCACAGCAGTGTTTCATCACTAGTGATGTATAATGTTGCAGATCTAAGTGGCACAACAGTGTTTCATCACTAGTGATGTATGATGTTACAGATCTAAGTGACATAGCAGTGTTTCATCACTAGTGATGTATAATGTTGCAGATCTAAGTGGCACAGCAGTGTTTCATCACTAGTGATTTATAATGTTGCAGATCTAAGTGGCACAACAGTGTTTCATCACTAGTGATTTATAATGTTACAGATCTAAGTGGCACAACAGTGTTTCATCACTAGTGATTTATAATGTTACAGATCTAAGTGGCACAGCAGTGTTTCATCACTAGTGATGTATAATGTTGCAGATCTAAGTGGTATAACAGTGTTTCATCACTAGTGATGTATAATGTTACAGATCTAAGTGGCACAGCAGTGTTTCATCACTAGTGATGTATAATGTTACAGATCTAAGTGGCACAACAGTGTTTCATCACTAGTGATTTATAATGTTGCAGATCTAAGTGGCACAACAGTGTTTCATCACTAGTGATGTATGATGTTACAGATCTAAGTGACATAGCAGTGTTTCATCAATAGTGATGTATAATGTTGCAGATCTAAGTGGCACAGCAGTGTTTCATCACTAGTGATTTATAATGTTGCAGATCTAAGTGGCACAACAGTGTTTCATCACTAGTGATTTATAATGTTACAGATCTAAGTGGCACAACAGTGTTTCATCACTAGTGATTTATAATGTTACAGATCTAAGTAGCACAACAGTGTTTCATCGCTAGTGATTTATAATGTTGCAGATCTAACTGACAAAGGTGTATTTCATCACTAGTGATGTATGATGTTACAGATCTAAGTGGCACAGCAGTGTTTCATCGCTAGTGATGTATGATGTTACAGATCTAAGTGGCACAACAGTGTTTCATCACTAGTGATGTATAATGTTACAGATCTAAGTGACATAGCAGTGTTTCATCACTAGTGATTTACAATGTTACAGATCTAAGTGGCACAACAGTGTTTCATCACTAGTGATGTATGATGTTACAGATCTAAGTGGCACAACAGTGTTTCATCACTAGTGATGTATAATGTTACAGATCTAAGTGGCACAACAGTGTTTCATCACTAGTGATTTATAATGTTGCAGATCTAAGTGGCACAACAGTGTTTCATCACTAGTGATGTATGATGTTACAGATCTAAGTGACATAGCAGTGTTTCATCAATAGTGATGTACAATGTTACAGATCTAAGTGGCACAGCAGTGTTTCATCACTAGTGATGTATAATGTTGCAGATCTAAGTGGCACAACAGTGTTTCATCACTAGTGATTTATAATGTTGCAGATCTAAGTGGCACAACAGTGTTTCATCACTAGTGATTTATAATGTTACAGATCTAAGTGGCACAACAGTGTTTCATCGCTAGTGATTTATAATGTTGCAGATCTAACTGACAAAGGTGTATTTCATCACTAGTGATGTATGATGTTACAGATCTAAGTGGCACAGCAGTGTTTCATCGCTAGTGATGTATGATGTTACAGATCTAAGTGGCACAACAGTGTTTCATCACTAGTGATGTATAATGTTACATATCCGAGTAGTACACCTGTGTTTTATCACTAACGACGTATAATGTTACAGATCTATGTGGCACAGCTGTATGTCATCACACGTGGTGTATAATTTACAGATCTGAGTGGAATAGCTATGAGTGACACTGGGCCATCTGTAACATGTTTTGATGACACAAAGCCAGACGGCTCCCATCCTGCGATCATGGCCTTCATCCTGGCTGACCAGTGTTGCAGCCTCTGTCAACTTACAAAGGAAGAGAGGTGGGTCACTGTTTTGTGCCAGTCATTTCTATCAAACACCTTTTAAATACTCTGATCTGGTCCAAGAGAACCACCGGTTGATAACATGATCAGCATCCTTGGCCATCAGTGCACCATATCAGAATGTCAGAATGGGCGCAGAGTACTAGAAACATATTCTGTCCTGGAATTCCGACACAGATGCTAAAATCCAAAGTTCAAAACTTCTGAGAAAGATGAACATGGTAATATTTGGATAATCATTACCCAGAAAACCTGTAACATCTTGATAGATTATAGGTATACATATGCATGTCGTTTGCCTTTAAATCTAAAACATTTAAGCACGTTTAATGTGGGTGTAATGGTTTCCTTATCAGTAAAGGCAGATCTGAAACACTCATTCTTGTTTTTGCGATGTAATATGTCGCTATATTTCATTATGACATGATTCAGGTGTTATGCATCGTTTCAGAAAACAGAAGCTGTGTCAGCAATTTGCAGCTATATTCAAATGCAAGAAGTTTTTAGAGGTAAAGGGTTTTATGTTTGTAAATAGCTTTTGTGAAATATGGTATTTCTAGATTGTCAGTCATGTTCTTTATTGTTCCATAGGTAAATTGTAATAAACAGAAGAACATATTTGGTTTAGACTATTTGACATCAATCCTCTTTGGACTTTTCTTATCACTGATACAATACCTCTTCAGCCTGTGGGGTATGTGGAGAAGAACTGGATGGAGGATGTATATTCTGGGGGATGCTATACGGTCGCACTTCCACCTGGAGTACTGACACAGTATGGAAGGTAAGCTGTACCACATTACACTAGTTCAGTATTCTGGGGGATGCTACACGGTCGCACTTCCCCCGGAGTACTGACACAGTATGGAAGGTAAGCTGTACCACATTACGCAAGTTCAGTATTCTGGGGAGCTACACGGTCACACTTCCCCCTGGAGTACTGACACAGTATGGAAGGTAAGCTGTACCACATTACACAAGTTCAGGATTCTGGGGTGCTACACGCTCACATTTCCAGGAGTACTGACACAGTATGGAAGGTAAGCTGTACCACATTACACAAGTTCAGTATTCTGGGGAGCTACACGGTCACACTTCCCCCTAGAGTACTGACACAGTATGGAAGGTAAGCTGTACCACATTACACAAGTTCAGTATTCTGGGGTGCTACACGGTCTCACATTTCCCCCAGGAGTACTGACACAGCATGGAAGGTAAGCTGTACCACATTACACAAGTTCAGTATTCTGGGGAGCTACACGGTCACACTTCCCCCAGGAGTACTGACACAGTATGGAAGGTAAGCCGTACCACATTACACTAGTTCAGTACTCTTGGGAGCTACACGGTCACACTTCCCCCTGGAGTACTGACACAGTATGGAAGGTAAGCTGTACCACATTACACAAGTTCAGTATTCTGGGGTGCTACACGCTCACACTTCCCCCAGGAGTACTGACACAGTATGGAAGGTAAGCTGTACCACATTACACTAGTTCAGTATTCTGGGGAGCTACACGGTCACACTTCCCCCTGGAGTACTGACACAGTATGGAAGATAAGCTGTACCACATTACACAAGTTCAGTATTCTGGGGTGCTACACGGTCGCACTTCCCCCTGGAGTACTGACACAGTATGGAAGGTAAGCTGTGTGACATTAAACTAGTTCAGTATTCTGGGGGATGCTTCACGGTCGCACTTTCCACCCGGAGTACTGACACAGTATGGAAGGAAATCTGTACCACATTACACTATTTCAGTATTCTGGGGGATGCTACACGGTCGCACTTCCCCCTGGAGTACTGGATTACTGGAGTTTAGATTAGTAACTTTTATTGTTAGTGGCTGTACCCTCAAAGGGGTTAAAGTACTGTAAAATTATTGTCCCCCTGAGAGGGTACGTAAGTCCCAAAACATTTCAAATAAATATAATCGTAGTATTTTTGTCATTCTAATGTATGGCTAAATCTCAATATAAACGCCAATGGCTGACGGGATGGTGTAAATCCAGCTAGGGTCCATGCAGGTAGCAAAGGTACTGTAAGTCCCCATGGTCCCTAGTATGGTGATCTACCTTCTGTTGTTGGCGATCTATAGCCTGTTTTTATCTTATATTGTCCTAATAGTGCTAACCTTCCATACTAGTGTTAAATCTAATTGTGATATTCTAGGTGTTTTGTTGTCCTTCGATGACAGGTTTTATAATATACACATATTCCATTTCAATGTAAAATGTTCTCGTCACGATATGGCTGAAATATTGCTGATATGACGTTAAATATTAACTCACTCACTCACTTTAGTTGTTTTACTGTCCTTCGTCGGCAGGTTTTTATAATGTCTATATATATTCTTTTCTCAATGTCAAATGTTCTCGTCACGACATGGCTGAAATATTGCCGATATGACGTTAAATAATAACTCACTCACTCGCTCAAGAGTAAAGGCTCTATTGCGCAACCCTATTTGCGGTACAGTTTGCAAGTGAGTAAAGACATATTTCATGCATATGGAGAAATGTTTTCTTCAGGGAGATCAGGAAGCCACACCACCGTCTGTATTTTGCTGGGACAGAAACATCCACAGAATGGATGGGATTCATGGAAGGAGCGATCCAGGCTGGGGAACGGGCAGCCAGAGAGGTGGTTCACACATGTTGACACTGGGGTCACCCAGGTGTAGACAGGAAGGTCACAGGTGTAGACATGGAGTGGGCGTCACAGGTGTAGACATGGAGCGTGGGCACATGTGTAGACATGGAGTGGGAGGTCACAGATGTTGACACTGAGTGGTGTGTCACAGGTGTACATGTAGACATGGAGCGGGCGTCACAGGTATAAAGACATGGAGTGGGAGGTCACAGGTGTAGACACACGGGTGATCCCTGTGTATTATTATATGATATTTATATAGCGCACATATCCAGGCAACTAGTGCTTGCTCAAGGCGCTGATATTATTGTGTAGTGAATAAATCGTGTTGACCAGTTAGTTATTCATGTAAATTCAAGGTTAAAACCCAGCTTTAGGGTTGATAAGTGTGCATCTACATTCTTATTGAGTGGTTACTTGAAGAAACAGTTTGTTATTTGCAGGTGTTATTTGCTGAGAGAAAGATTAAAGAATCAGAGATTATGCAAGATGAACCAGAATCTGAGGACTTCCCTGCCAGGCCCCTCCCGACTTCATGGGTACAGCAGAGCATGCCGTCTGTGACTGCCGTGGTTGCCGGTGTAGTGCTGGCTGCCTGTGTTGCAGTTGTGGCAGTCATCCTCAAGATGCTGGGATAGTGCTTTGTTAGTTGGTGTGTTTAACGCCATACTAAGTACTACTCCAGCTGTATGACAGTAACATGCACTCAAGGGATTCACATTATAACATTAACGGCGCATTTGGGATACAATGACTTGTATGGTGAAGGTCGGTTCTAAGCATGATAGGCAGATGCTGGCATAGGGATCTTTTTCTGCTTATGCTGTGATATTCTAACCACACACCCTCTAAAACAAAAAATGTGAAAATCTATTCTGATTGAAGAAATGTTATTAATTGTTCTTTGTTTAACACATCGATGTGTTTTCATCTATTCATCGATCTCCTATTCATCACTTCTTAGGGCTAGAAGCAGAAATATTTTTCTTAAAAGTTACCATCGAATATGTGGTTTTCAAATGTTCAAAGGATTTTCATAAGACTTCAGTATTTTAATGTTGTTTGGGCAGTTCGTAGAGTAGGGTGAATATTACACTTAGGTCACACGCTCTTTAGCATGCATATATACATCTTATTGCAATTGTGGTTTACTTTTAATTTTTGCGAAAATGAGCATACAAATAATTTCAATTGACATCACATTTTCTGATTCGATATTCAACAAGCTAATAACAATATTAATAATATAATATTAATGGACATTTATGATGCACCTGTATCCACGCACTTATGCATGCTCGTGGCGCTGAAATAATAATCTGAGGGTAATATACAGTGAAAATGCATTGTGGTTTTGAAAATATTGTTATAGGTGCTCTTGAAGAGATAAGTTTTCAGGCGATATTTGAAATACACATGTCCTCTGGGACAAAGTAACAGCTGTAACAACTTTGCCCGTTGTTGAACCTAAAGGTCACTACAGTTCCAAATTCCTTAATGACAGAAAATACATATACGACACACACAGGTATGAGTGAGTGAGTGAGTGAGTGAGTTAATATTTAACGTCACATCGGCAATATTGCAGCCATATCGTGACGAAAGCAAGCCATACAATGAAAAGTAGAAACATTTTGAAAATAAATACCTGTCGACGATGGACAGTAAAAAGACTAGAGAATCACAGTTATAAATATAAAACTAGCGCAAAGTTAAAATATTTCAATTAAAGAAGACAATACAATATAAAATACGGGCTATAGATCACCAACAACTGAAGGTAGATCACCATACTAGGGACCATGGGGACTTACAGTACATTTGCTTCCTGCATGGGCCCTAGCTGGATTTTGCAACATCCCCTCAGCCGTTGGCAATTGAGATATATCTAGCCATACATTAAAATTACACATATTCTACGATTAAAAATCTTTGAAGTGGTAACACAAATCTTCATAAAGGCCGCAAGACGTCTACTGTGTGAGTTCACATAAGTTTTCGTCGCCAGAAAACTAGAGTGTTCTATGTCCACTTTCGGTGAGTTAGGAGTGAGTGATTGAGTTAAAACGTAAAGTCAGTAATTAATTAAATCTAAATCTAGTAATTAAATCTAAAATATTTTAATTATAAATCACAGTATAATATAAAAACAGGCTATAGATTGCCAACACTTGGGTTAGGAAGCTCTGGGCATGTTTTACTGCATATTCTATCTCCATGCAAACTTTCACCGTGATATATAGCCTGGAATGTGTTTTTACATTGTTTTATCTCCATAATATAACACAAATTGTTAGTTCCTGAGTACTCTAAGTGATTATTGGACCAATCAGCAAATCCATTTTGATGACGTGACATGGGGATGGAACAATCTGGAAGTTAATATCATCATTGTAGACATAGAAACAGAACATTGGAACATTGCCCTTATTTATGATTTATTTGATGTAATACGTAAGCTTTGAAACTAAAACAAGTTAAAACAACAAATATACAACCTGGTACGGGAGAAATACAATAATCGTATAATACTGACTCAGCTGCATTTCTTATACATAGAACACTGGTTCTGAAAACAAATACAAATCTATGTATCTAGTGTTCTTATCGTTTGTTTTTGCGGTTTGTTTTTTGTTAATTTTTTCTTTATTTCAAGAGCTTTAACATATTTTTGGTTGGATTCCAGTTGTTTTGATATAACACATGTATGTGCACAGTTCCAAAGAATTTAACTGAATAGTTTTCAAAATATTGTTGTTCTAAACTTTAAGATCGATTTCCTCGGACATAGTATTTTTTTTTACCTAGAACACTCTTGTTTTCAGACGACCTATTTTGGTAAGGGAGTCTCTGATGATCTTACATTGGCAACAGTATGGGGTTAGATATGTTGCCATGGATAGAGAATATTAAGCATAAGTTATTAAGCATATTAAGCAAAGTGGCCATGGATAGAGAATATTAAGCATAAGTGGCCATGGATCCCAGAGAATATTAAGCATATGTGGCCATGGATTCAGAATATGAAGCATATGTGGCCATGAGAATATAGAGAATATTAAGCATATGTGGCCATGGATAGAGAATATTAAGCATAGAGCATATTAAGCCATGGATAGAGAATATTAAGCATAGTGGCCATGGATAGAGAATATTAAGCATATGTGGCCATGGATAGAGAATATTGAGCATATGTGACCATGGATAGAGAATATTAAGCATAAGTGGCCATGGATACAGAATATTAAGCATATGTAGCCATGGATAGAGAATATTAAGCATAAGTGGCCATGGATAGAGAATATTAAGCATATGTAGCCATGGATAGAGAATATTAAGCATATGTGGCCATGGATAGAGAATATTCAGCATATATGGCCATGGATAGAGAATATTAAGCAATGTATCCATTAACTTGAGAAATGACATACACGTGACACTTGGTTGGTGCAGTAGTGTTCTTGCAAGTTTTTTTCGGCCGATGTTGTCTATATTATCGGATGAACAATTGTAAAACATGTCACTGACTTATTACAGACAACTTTATCTTAAACATAAGCCATCATCCGAGTATTTAATGTCTGTGTGACGCAATCGGCCTTTTACACTTTTACACTCTCGCCCGAAAACGTGACGTTTGAAACCCTTTGATCCATGATATTTTCACGAACATATCCCAATATAAATATAATATATAATAACATATAAAATGTAAATGCAACAATGCTTTTGAGTATGTATGCAGGGAAGTATATGGGACCTTGTATGAATAGTTTTGTGTGTGTTAACCAGATGTCATCTTCATAGCAACAAACTTTAGTAGAGTAAATTCAAGTTCAAATCTGTCTTAAATTCTGATCCCAACGTAATTCGTGTTTTTTAATCTGCTTTTAATTTTGCTGTTTTAATCTGCATTTCATTCATGGGGTTTTGTTTAAAACATTCTTTTGAAAGGTCAAACAGATGCATTTGGTAAATATATCATTTCCATGCATAATGTGTTTACAGATTATACTCACTTTCCCCGCCAGCTGCCCCCATGACGGTTATTGCTTGATAGGGCACTCAGCAATATTCCAGTGATTGACATCATGAGTGTTGATTCGAATACAGTCACGGGCCAGGTTAGTGAACCCTTTACGAAAAAGCATGGGTTGCTGAGGAACAGATCTCTCATGGGGTAGCAGTGGTACAATAACAATAGTGATATATTTTGCACCAATTCCAACCACAACTGTAGGCTGATAGTGATACATAAAACACCAACGTATGGCCAGAGATTATACAACAGATTTGAATCAGAAGTAGTGACGTCTGAGGCGATGGATTGTCAATACAATGAGACCAGGGAGGGGCACATTATAAGTTGTTTACTGGTCTCGAGGGGGACATGGGCTGCTGTACCCTCGATGTTTGTTTTTGGGCGAGGGGAACATAAACAAACATCGAGGGTACGTCAACTCATGGGCCCCGAGGGACAAGTGAACAACGTATTTATCTTACCGAACACCTTAATGTTAATTTTGAATTGCTTGAAGCACGGGTACAAATCTTTTTGTAGCCATCGCTAGATTTTGCTGATTTAGAGTTATCTCCCTTCCATCGATTTGCATTCGCAAAACATCGGTAATTTCTGTACATCATACGTGTTTCAATATTACTCGAGATAAAGAATTACTACCACGAAGTACCAAATGAGTTGCCATTGACAGCGGGGTACATTGAAATGTTACTCGCTTGTAAGCGGGGTACACTGAAAATAATAGAAGAGCGCTCAGCCAATCAGAAAGCGACATTTATGTGTGAGGTAAGATAATGTTTCATGTCGGCGCCGAGTGAATACTTAAGTGTAGGTTCTGCATAGGTGCATATTCTGTGAAAATACGACATGAGTCCTGTTTTATACAATACCATCAGGTACATGTGGTTATCTTAATGACGAATCTGATTGTTTTTCAGAAAGACTCTTTTGTTCAGAGATATTATTTTGTCATATATCGAATGACGCAGAAGGTGAATATGTTATTATTAATTTTTGACATAAAATGATGCTTTTCATAACTTCATAATAAAATGGTTGAAAATGGAAACCCGTGTTTTCACATCTGTGTTGAAGCTTAAATTTGCTGTTCATGTTGCTGGTTTGGAGGATATACCCCATCACAGACCACACACGACCATGTAGTTCTCTTCCAAAAGGCCTTGTGAGCCATGGTATTGAATCTATCATTTCGTATGCCATGGTCCCTTCCCAAGTACATTATGTGAACATGATTGTTTTTCACAAACACAGCTAAATGGAGCGTAAGTTAGGTGCGGATGAGTTGACATGGTTTAACATCACGATCATGCAGGTTTATCATCAAGGCAACTGAGATACCATACAGCTGTTTAGCATGGATACCTTACTCACACATGGCATACTGACGTCCAGCTCACCAGTTCCCCAGGTTGTTTTGTTCCGCTTTATGGCGAGCACCAGCCAGGGAAACAGAAAGTACCATCTTGTAATGCCTGTGGTATGACGCGGCCAAGGATCGAACAACCGAAATTTGTACCAAGACGTGTGTCCTCCCCTTCATATACTTCGAGCAAGGTCGTATGCGGTCGGCTGAGATGATACGCACTGAACCAATTC